AGCCGTAGAGAAACACCTGTTCATTTCCCACAGCCAACTCTTCCCGTCTCATGAATTATCACTTGATCACAACTCTTCACCGAAACCTAGGGATAGGTGAGAGTCCTTCAGTGGAAATCTCCTTGGTGTTGCCCTCTGTACCTGAGATGCCAGAATAAGAAATCAGACTGCTATTTAGAGGGAATCTTCAAATGCATGAATTTATGTAATGTGGTGTTTTTTTTTTTTAAAGATTTTTATTTATTTATTTGAGACAGAGAGCATGAGAGGGAGGAGGGTCAGAGGGAGAAGCAGACTCCCTGCCGAGCAGGGAGCCCGACGCGGGACTCGATCCCGGGACTCCAGGATCATGACCTGAGCCGAAGGCAGTCGCCCAACCAACTGAGCCACCCAGGCGCCCTGGTGTTCTGAATAATGTAGCTAGAAGCCCTTGGGACACACTTTTAATTTAACAACAAAAAACTTCTCATAGCCTTTCTTAATAATCTCCAAAGTAGTTAAATAAATTTGTTTTTTTCTCCTCTAATATGTTCATGTAAATCAATCTCTCTTGCCTCCTCCACCCTCATTTACTGGTTTCATTTCTTGTTAGAATTTTCAATTTGTACTTGTTGTCGAACAGATACTAGATATATACTCTAACAGTCCCTGTCTGTGTAAAGCCACAGGATAGGAGGCTGAGGAGCTTCTACTGAATTCATGGCAGGTTAGACAGAAGACCTGGTAAAGCCCCCTGCTGGGGTAGGGCCCTTTTATATCCTAGGTCCTCTGTGGGACAACTGTGTCACCAGGGATGCTGTGGCAGGAAATGATTGATTTTGTTGCCAACCTCGAAGACCAAAACTATAATCTCAAACATTCGTGTTCTTTTAATAACTCATTAGAAATCTGTCATCCATGACTTTGTTTAAATCCTTTTGAAGCTATTTTTTACTTTTAGTGAATAGGAGCTTCTTGAGTAGTAAGTTCAATAATTTTACAACTGGTGACCTGATCCTGTCACCTGGGTGCACTACACTGACTGGCTTCACCTCCCAGATCGACTCACACTTTTCTCAACATGGGCATTTTTGGCAGAACCAGAGTCACCAAAAAATGGTTGCAACCCCCTTGACTCACATGCCTTACACATATGGTCCCCAATTCTGTCATTCTTTGCTGTTTGGTCTAGAAAACTTTCATCTACAGAATAATTTTTAGGACTATGTTTTACTTACAGAATCCAGATAAATATAAATTTAGAGGTTTTCAGTGGGTTTGTTTTGCTTTTTGCTTTCTTTTTAGGGTTATTTTAATTTATTTAATTTTTTAAAAAGGTTTTATTTATTTATTTGAGAGAGAGAGAGAAAGATCACAAGGTGGGGGGCAGAGGGAGAAGCAGACCCCCCACTGAGCAGGGAACCTGATGCGGGACTTGATCCCAGGACCCTGGGATCATGAGCTGAGCTGAAGGCAGATGCTTAACCGACTATACCACCCAGATGCCCTATTTTATATTGAAGGGCCCAGAATGATAATGTATGGAGGGACTATCCCACCAAATACACAGACACCTTGGGACTTCTCCCTCCTGCTAACAATTTTAGGGGCATCTACATGGAAGTTCAGTGTCCAAAGCCTTAGAAAGCAAGAACTCCTCAAAAGCTAGTCTTTACCCACTTTATCAGCCTCTTCTCCTGTCTCTATAAACTGCACTCTTAAGCTACACTGGGCTACTTATTTGCTAGTCCCGGAGAAGTCATGCTTCTTATGTCTCCAGGCCTTGGCATATGCTGTTCCCTTTGCTTAGACTTACCTTTGTCAGCCGTTAAATAGAACAGTTCAAAATCTAACTTCTCCACAATGTCCCGTTCTAGGTTCTTAGACATCACCTAAGTCACCCCTTAAACTGTAATCGCATAGACCTTTGCTCACACCTTTCTTTTAATAGGTTTTAGAATTCATTGTCATTTTTTTGTTATGTGCCCATTATCTATCGAGACTATTAGTTCTTCCAGAGCAGAGACCACATCTTATAATTAGCAATCGAGCTTACCCTGGTACAATAGGTAATCAAGTTGAGTATTTACTGAAAACATGAATGAGTGAGAGCATAAATGATGGTGTGCTGGTACGAATAAACCAGCTCACTCACACACATATGCACACACCACGCATGCTACGCCATGTACGCATATGCAGCACGCACATGTGCACAAAGTGCATGCGCTCGCACATGGGTCTCGGTAAACTGGAGCACCAGGCAGAGGCTGGGTAAAGTTGCAGGTGTAATTTTTTGTATTAATGTCCTTAATCAATTTTCTTCCTTGTCTGAAAGTCATGAATGCTTATTGCTACTTTTCTCCTCATACATTAACCTAGATTTTTCACAAGGGAATTCATTTTAAATATCACTGGCCTGGGATTTGCTTGTTCTACTTCAAAGAATGTTCAGCTATTTTTATGTATGCAATACAAGGATATTAAGTGAAAAATATAAATACCCACACATGCTGCTTACCTTCACCTGCTGGAACATTAAATATTCAGGAAAATCAGGCCCGCCATCGATTTTTCCATAATACCCCAATCCATATCATTAGTTGGCAATCTGTCAGGCCGGTTTCAATTCAAGTGACAGACTTCACATTCAAATCAATTTCGATTAATTTTGTAAGAATCATTTAGAGAAACGTGGCATCAGACCCCTGATTTAAATCAAGATGTATGGCATCCTCCACTTTTCATTTATCTTGTCATTTTATGAGGAAAATGCCGTCTTTTGTCTGGCATTTTTTTATATACATATAAACCCATGCTGCTTATCACTCCTGGTTCCATTATCCCCAAGATAGTCACTTTTTCCCCCTCCTAACAGTTGCTCCATTATTTTATTAGTGTCCAAAACGAGACCTCGCAGACAGTGATGATCAGAGAATAATGGAAATTAGAGATGGAAATGACAGATTAGGTCTCCTTGTCTGTTTCCTGGGGCTAATGTTCCTGTCAGTCTGCAACTCGGTGCTTTAGCCTGTCTTATTTTAAATGACACCAACGTGGGGCCTCCACCAAGTCCCTGGAGGCTCTTGTCTACATCCTAAGACTGCCTCTACAACGCAGCCAGAGGGGATGACGAACGCTTGTGCAATTACCAAGTGAAGCCAGGCCCGTCCTCGCATGATCTGTCTGCAACGTGAGGGATGTGGAGGCTTGAGCGATTAGCCACCAAATCCAATCACTGCAGAGGGCCAGCCTGGATCATTCAGGGCAAAAAGCAAAATGATATTTTGTCGTTGTTTTCTTCAGCAGCAAGTTTGCAAGCTAAGAGATAGAGAGCTGGTTATCCATCACCCTTTACAACATTTTACTCAGTAAGAATCATAGCCAACCGAGATGCTTGGCCATCACGTAGGCTAAAATCCTGGCTCCTCATCTGTGAAGCAAACGTTTCAGGGGTCAGAGTGAGGGGACTAAGGTAACTCTAAACAGCGAATGGCCCTCTGTATTCATACCCCACCTAACATCTATTAGCTAAGTCCTCGGCCCTCCCCACCCATCTTTCAACAACACACAACCTCATGTGTATTTATACCCTCTACAAACACCTTCCTCCAAATCCAGGGGCTGGCCTCTCTGATACGATCTCAAGTTCAACAGAAACAGAGCAATCCTTCACTTTCACCAACAGAAGAATTTCATGGCATTTTGACTTCTTCAAGTTTTCTGACCTGTGACTCAGATTTCCTTCTCCTAACTTCATTCTCTCTTGTCCTTATTCCTCAACCTCAACCAGTTCCAGAACATTTGCCCTCTTCTAACGTCGATGGGAATCTATCATGCCTTGACTTTGTCATCAGCTGGCCAGTTCTCTGAGTTGAGTCCTTCTATCCTTCATCATAAATCACTCTCTTGGGCTCTTCAATCATTTTTATTGCTCTTCTCCAAACTCTCACCCATTTGTCTCCATATTTATTGCTTTGAGAGTCCAGAACTACACTCCCTATTCTAGGCTCAGTCTCATCAGGATCCTACAGAGGGGGCTGATCATCGACCTCGGGGATAGGAGTCCTCCATGGCAATGTATGAAATGATGGTGGTGCCTTTTTTCCACCTTGTCAGGCTGCAAACACATTTCCAACCTGCACAAAAGCAATCACTCTCAGATGGCTTGTGCCTTGATTTCTTTCTAGTTTCCCTGTTCCATTGACTGCTATTGTTAGTGTTTATTGATCCCTTTCTCTTCCCACCCTGCTCCACGAGTGAGCCAATGCAGAAAGCAGGCTCTCAACACCAAAAACAGAGTAGAAAGTTGCCTCTAAAAAGCGAAGGAAGACACACAGTGCTGATGGCAGCTCAGCAATGTGAATGATCTTCATGCCACTGAATCGTACACTTCAAAATGATTAAAATGGTCAATTTTACGGGACGGAGATTTTATCAATTTTTTAAATGTAAAAAATAAAAGAAAAAAACAAGACAAGGTTGGGAACTCTTCTCCCAGTCATGTGTGCTTGGGGGAAAGCAAAGGTCTGAGAGAGAAAGGGTGACTGGGGATCTGGCAGAAGTACCCTTACGTCACCCACACGTCATCCTGGCTGACAGTGATGGGGAAAACACGTTTCTCCTCATGTCCGTCTCTCAAACCTCCTTCAGCTCTGGGAGAGCCACATGGGAGTCTGTGTGGCTTTGTGCATCTCCAACAAAATCATCAGCTAAGTTCTGCCTGTGGAATCCTGGTGGCTGGCAGTGGAATGAAAAAGAAGACAGGGACAGCTTGATTTTCAGATCCCAGCTGGAGGCTTTGGGGCTGCGAGTCAGAGGCATCATCTCTGAACTCGTAAATGGAGAAAAAGATGACACGGACGTCACTGGAATGGTATAAATATGGAAATGCACGGTGACATTTTTACCCATTTGCGATTCAGAATATAACTACCCTTTAGCTCCGTTCCCCTGCACGCTATGGCTCCAAAGAAGGGTGACATCAGGGAACTGGCTCACTTGCCATCCCCTGCACTTACCCCTGGTTTGTGCCCCATTCATTCCGAATGCAAAGGTGCTTGTGTACTGGATCCTTCATGTAACCTTCATAGCAGAGGCATTCCCCTTAGAACCAGGGTAGGAAGAAGAAACATGAAGCAATTGATTAACATGTCTGAGAAAATGAATATGAAATGATCAGATTAAACTCCAACTCTAATAGTGGTGTGGATGAAACGATAAATCCCATCATGTCACACATCCCCGTCTCTACTACCCACATGAATGAACACACCCTCAGTCTCTCCATTTTCTACTACATGCTGATTTTCACTAGTGGAAGAACCCAACATTTACAAAGAACCTACTCTATGTACTTTGTAAAAACAAAGACCAAGAACTCTTTGAGTAGAAGGACTTTTTCAACCTGATTTGCTTAGTGCCTAGTCTCTTGCCAGGCACATATTAGGTGATCAATGAGTATTTAAAGAGCACCTAAGTGACTTAGTGCATCAAATATTTCTAAGAAACTTGAAAAGTAGGTGTTATTAGCTGTGCTTTGCCAATAGGGGAAACTGAGGCTCAGAAAGATGAAGGGATCTGGAGACAGCTTAAGGGCAGTCAACATTTGAATCTATGACTCTCTGGCTCTGGAACTTTATTCCCACCATGCCGTGCTGTTAGCCCACGGAACAACTCCATGGTTAGAGGAGGCCACTTATACCTGTTACGGTTTTATAGGAACTCTGGGTCTTTGTTTTCAAATGAAAATGGCTAATGATTTTGGAGCTGTTAAACAGAAGAACTATCCACAATTCTCTATTTGTTTTGGATATTACTATGCTTCATTGCCACTAGTTACTCCATTAATATACCAAGGGGTTCACAACCCCTCTGGAATTGTATGCAAAACCGTGTATGTGTGTCTGTGCATCCTCCCACGGCAGGGTTCCATAAGTTTATTCTGATTTACGAGCAAACTCGAAATCGAAAGATGAAGAATCATTGCCTGACTTAGCACTGATCTTGAAAAAAATTGCTCCTGTTCCCTTATATTAATAATTCGTTATGTAATGTTATGTATCCCTAAACTGCTGAGACCAGTCCCACTTCAGCATGAGTGTTAACTCTTTCACTGGCTGGTTAATTCTAGGTGGTAAAAGAACAGGGTGTGACTTCCTATAATTGGTAAATAACAAAAGTGGCTTACCCTAAGGAGACAAGGGGCATACAGTTTCTTCATCCTTCTAGCAAGAGACACTTAAAAAAGGATACACATAGAATAATAGCTTTGAGTGCTATTTTCTCTTTTCAAAGACAAAAACCAATAAAAATGAAGCAAAGGGGCCCCACAGGTATGAGGGAAGGGGTTGGATAGGTTCTAAAGCAATGAGTTTTTTGTTAAGATCTAAGCTTAACCATTCCTTTCAAGATGGACCTGTAAGCTACTCCCCATCAGGGCCCCACTACCAGATAACACTCATTTTCTTCCCCCCATACGTGCTTAGCTCAAGGTGCTGAGGAGTGAAGTGAAAATTAGCAACTTCTTAGTTTGTGGGGGCTCTACTCAGAGTATGAGGTCAGTACTCTCTTTCCTGTATGGGACACTCAGGCTTCACATGAGTTAGATTCGCAAAAGGCTCAAATTCACGGGCTTCAGGGGTGATGAGCTATATCTAGGAATGGTCAGGGAGGTAGGGGTGGAACATAGGAAAACAAAGCTTGAAATTAGGAAGATGATAATAAAGCTTTCAGATGAAGGATGTTTCTCTGGGAAAAGGAAAGATAAAGAAGGCAAGTACCAGAGGGTCATAAAAGAAGAAAATCACCAAGGAGCCGGGCCTCCTATCTTACCAATCTCAAGGAAAGCAGGGGTTCAAGACTATAAGCTACATAAGGGCAGGAACAAGTTTCGTTTTTCTGCACAAGTAGCGATTTTGTACAGTGTGTAATGGAAAATTAATTAATTAACTTAAAATTTTTACCCTGCATTTATAGATAACACCACTACCACTATTCTCAAGATAGAGAGATCAAAGGCAATTAATGGGTCTAGGGCACAGATGTGCTTCTCCCTTCAGAAGATCATCTCCCGACTGTCCTTGTGTGACATTAAAAACCAGGAAGTAACCTCAAGAGGTTGTCGGACCCATCACTCCGAGTCTCAGAAGGGTCTTGACTCGAGGGCTCGCCCTAGAAATAAGGACTGACAAAAAAGGGAGTCCTCCCACGTTTGATATCTAGTTACCACAAAACATGTAAAAATAAATGCACCAACAACTCAGAGTTCAAGCAGAGCCCGATTTACCTAATGATGGCAATATGTACCACTTGTAGAGCGCATTTACCTTTCTCAAATTGCCTTCAAAGTCATTATCTCCTTATGATGTTTCATCACTCACGACTATGTGGGGACACCGCCGACAAGAGAGAAAGCTTTCCTCCGTATAATGTCATGTGCAGCCCGAAGTCAGAGCAACAGAGACATTTTCAAACATATCGGGCTCGAGTTTGAGGAGATCCAAAATCTGCGTCTCAAATGATCCTCATTTCCGGAACCCACCAAACGTCCCCCTTCTGCCTTCCTCCTCAAAACCAGTTTGGCCATCTACACTGAGAGGAGTTCAGACTTGATGAGGAAAGTTGCTATGGCAACCAAATGCTAAATCTTGACTTTAAGAGGGGTTTCGTGCAAGCACGAGCTCCGACTGTTAGCTGTGAATTTTAAAGACCCCACAAGGGTGTTGGATGCCCTCCTAAGCTAGAAGTGTTACAGTCTCTGCATCTGCTGTGACAGATGGCGGGGAACACATGACGTGCCGACTCGGCGGCGGTGTTCGCAGGAATCCAATGGAGGGACATGTCACGGCCACGGAGAAGTGCCCGGCTGGGAGGGAGTATACCCTGCAGGAGGCACGCACGGGTGACCGCCCTACAGGGAGGGCCAGGAAATGGAGACCCTGGATTTGTGCTTGGTACCCTGAGGTCGGATGCCATGAAGTGGTTTGTATGGCGCCTGTGCCTTCCCTCATTTCCCATTCTACAGGTCAAGGACTGAGGGGCAAAGTTCATTAAAGGATTAACACAAGACCTTGGAGCTAGGGCTCCTCAGACACTACTGGGCTGGGCGCCAAAAGCCCCGAGGCACCTATCCTTCAGGTCGCCATTGGCTTTTATTAAATGGAACTGGGTGATGTACTCCCTCTGAAAAGGGAAATCTCTGGAAGACATCTGGACTTGGGTAATGTCTAACTGCCTGGCCTCGCCCGCTGTGGAGACATCAGGCAAGAGGCAGGCCCAGAGTCAAATAGCTCCGCATGACTCTGGGTGGGCAGACAGAGGGGAATATGCCAAAGTACGTCCCAAAGGAAGGTGCTTTCACTGAGCCACAAAAGGGAGTCTGGAAAGAGTGGGCAATCCACGTGGCAGAAACAAAATGGGAGCTGTGCTACCATGCCAGATTGGGTTCAAGAGAGAGAGGGAGAGGCAGTGGTTCAGACCAAGGAAAGGAGAGGACTAGATTGAGTCTGGAAAACTGGTCCAATGCCCCTCGCCAAATTTTACATATTTCTCTGTGGTTAGAACTGGCCTCTAGAGAGATCTGGGGTAGAAGGAATGCCTGGGGATGGCAATCTTGGATGGCAATTAAAATTTGATTTAGCTTGGGAGCCTGTGCTCCTTGCAGACCCTTAAAAGCTACGTATCTTGAAAAGGGGAGTGAGGGTCTGTGGCCAGGGCTGGCGGGAGCTATGAAATCAAGTAGGTGTGTAAAGTGACTGCAGCTGCCCAACAGGCAGAACAAAGCCAGGGAATGGAGGGGTAAGAAATGCTGCTGAAACCAGTTAGTCTGTGTTTCCATCAAAAGCCAAGCAAGCGAGCAAACAGACAACTGTAAGAAAAACCCTTAGAAGGTACAGGAAAAGTCAACTTCTGGCTGCCTCCAGCTAGGGCACTAAGCCATCCAACCTCAGCGGTGGCCTGCCTGGGCCGGAGACACACCTAGGGTCACAAACCTGGGAGGATCTGGGGAAGAATGTCAGTGTGCAGTTGGCCAAGAGCCTCCAGGCACTGGGCTCACAGTTCTAGGGAACTGACATCCCTCCCAAACAGTGTGTTGCTAGAATGTAGAACGGAGGCTGGAAGGGAAAACAGATCAGCAAGCTTCCTCCAGTTTCAGTGCTTCTGTAGACTCCTGACACACTTTTGGAAGGTCTATGTGGCCTCTATAAATGGGGCTGGGGAGCTACAAAGAGGAGCATAATGACGCTTGTCCTTTCTCTGCCTTTTTCCTCCTCCTGTTTCTACAGGTGCCGTGACAATGATCACAAAGTTAGTGGTTGAAACAACACTAATTTATTATCTTACAGTTCTGTAGGTCAGAAGTCTGACATAAGTCTCACGGGGCTGAACACAAAGGGGTCCGGAGGGCTATGTTCCTTTTCGGAGCCTTGAGAGGAGGATCTGTTTCCTTGCCTTTTCCAGCTTCTGGAGGCTGCCCCCATTTCCTTACATCGTGCCCCCTTCCTCCAGCTTCAAAGCTGGCAGTGGCTGGTGGAGTCCTTCTAGTATCTCGTGTGGTAGGGTCTGGCCTCCTCTTCTGCCTCCCTCTTCCACTTTTAAGTACCCTTGTGATTGCACTGGGCCTGCCTAGTTGATCCAAGATACTCTTCTCATTTTATTTTATTTTAAAGATTTATTTATTTGAGAGAGAGCAAGAGTGCGCTAGAGTGAGCAGGGGGTGGGGCAGAGGGAGAGAATCTCAAGCAGACTCTCCACTGAGCAGGGAGCCCAACTCAGGGCTCAATCTCACAACCCTGAGATCATGACCTGAGCCAAAACCAAGAGTCGGACGCTTCACCAACTGAGCCACCCAGGCGCCCCTACTCTCCTCATTTTAAAGCCAGTTGTTTGGCAACCTTAATTCATCTTTGCCATTTAACATAACTCATTCACAGGTCCTGGGGATGAGGAGGAGCCCATCTTCAGGGTCCCAATATTCTGCCTACTACAGCTGCTATTCGGGACCACTGTGCAGGTGATGAGTAAACATATGCTTAACTCTGGAACCCTCTGGAAGGTTGCCTGAGGAGAGCTCCAGGCCCCAGAGGATGCTCCTTTGCAGTCACTGAGTGTGTGTGTTTGTGTGTTTGTGCAGTGCGTGTGTGAAGAAGTACACACGTGCACTTGCACAGTCCCACATCTCCATATGGGCAGACCCCTCAGCATGGCTGGGAAAGCACATGTCCCAACACTATGACATTTCCAAGTGAGTTAGCTGGAGGGTTGCAAAAATAACGTCGGCTTGACTTGCAGCCAATTCCCACACTCATCTCTTTGGAGGAGAAAGGCTCTAGGATGGAGTGTGGGAGGCGATAAAGTTTCTTACTGATGAGCGTGTGGGTTGACCACATCATCCCATGTGCAGGAAGAAGCAGGGCGGGAAGGGGGACAGCTTCCTTTTCCAGCTTTAATGAAAATAAAAGTCTCCGCAGCAGCATTTCTCAGCTGCCCCCCCAAATGAAGATGTTGCACCTTAGTTCTCTGGTGTGGGATCTGGGTTCCTCTCTGCAGTCTCCCTCCTGGCCTTCCGGTTGGATATTCATTAATTGTCACAGATACTGGGAAACCACTAGCAGAGGAGGGCTTCCCACAGTCATTTTCAGCAAGGATTAGAACTGAGACACCTGGGAAGACTGAAGAAGCAGGTGATGGGAACTTCACCGTGGACAAGGAGTCGCCCCAGCTCCTGGCTTGGGTAGCATGCTCAGTAGTGATGGCTGCTTACATAGTCTTCCATGACAAATACGTTGGATCTGACATGTCTGGGGAAATCAAGCAGCCCTTAAAAATCCCACCTCTGCTCTGACTTCATGATGGATGGAACACGGACTATGTCTTGGGAAACCGTGGGGCTTTGGGTGAGTTATGTATATTCTTGGGGGAATTCACACAGTGATCTCAAGCAGCTCATTTCTCTCTAAGACCCCTCCATGCTCGAAACACCAATCGCTTCCCCCCCACATGTAATTACATGTGCTTCCTGTTCTTTAAAACCCTCAGGAGAACCTTCCAAGGTCCTCTGGAGATGAGGCTTTTCTCAGAGGTGAGTTGAAGCCCTGAGCTTGTCCCAGGATCTCCCACTCCAAGTCAGCTGGAGGGGACCACAGACCAGCTCTGCTGAACAGAAAGGCCCCGCCTTGGAGATGAGCCTTTTTCCCTTTCTCCCGAGCACACTGATTTTTGGGCCTGGTGCACAGCCCATCTGTTTGATTTGGTGTTTGCCTGACAGCGTGGGAAGAGCAGTAAGTAAGCACAGTCTTAGACATCAGATGTTTAAAATTCTATACTTTCTCTTCCATATGGGGGCCTGGAATCCCTACGATGGGCCCAGGTGAAAACAACTCTTAGAACAACACCTAAGAAGGTGAACTTTGGATGTTGCTGCCGCCTGTTACCCTCCCAAAGACATACAGCAATGCACTGTAACAGAAGCAGGGCTCTATCTCTTGGACTCCATCTCTACTAATAGCCCTCCACCCCAGCACCCGAGAGAAATGCATCTGTAGGGGTGAGTGTGTGCACTGTGTATGTGCGTATGTATGTGTGTATATGTGTGCATGTGTGTGCATATGTATGTATGTGTATATGGGTACGTTTGTGCATGTACATGTATATACGTGTGTGTGTGTGTGTGTGGTGGAGAAGAAGGAGCTGTACATGAGATACAGAGAGTTGGAGGAATTGGTCCCCAACTCCCAACATTTCCCTTGGGGGTCTTAGCTATCATTACATGCCTTCCTTTGTTCTAGGGCCTCACACTTCTCTGGGAAGGATCTATTTGTGGTACTGAATCTACTGGAACCAGGTCTTTATGAAGACTGTTGTAGATGAATACCTTCTACAAGGAAAGTGCACAGCAACTTGGAAGGAGGGGCCCACACTCCTCAGGATCGCGGAGCTCATGAAGCTCTGGGCATGCCGTGTCCACATGTGGACCCTCTCGGGGAAGCCCCAACCCCATCCAATAACATGACAGCCTGAGAGATGTCTCTCCCCTGGGCCCCAGTAATCTCTCTCCTAGGATTTATCTAAAGAAAATAACTTCAGATGTGCCCTGCATTTATGTGGAAAGATACTCATTTTTGGCAGTATTTGTAAAAATTAAAAATTTGAAGCATCTTAAATGTCAAATAATAGGGAACTATTTAAATGAGCTATGATATAGACATACAATGGAATACCAAATAGCCATTAAAATTATGTTATGGAGAATTATTTAATGGTTCTGGAAAAATTTCATGGTAGAATGTGAAGTGACAAAATCAAGAAAACGCTAGTGGACTTAGTGTGCTTGTAAGTCTCTAAAACTCATGCACAGATAAAAGATCGGAAGGGAGGACATTACAATTTTAAAATGATTTCTTCAGGAGATAGAATTATAGATGATTATCATTTTTGTCTATAAGCTTTTCTAAATTTTCAAATTTTCTACAATAAACATGCATAAAAAGTCTAGCCCCAGCAGCTGACATCCACTGATGGGATGGTAAATGGATGGTGCAGGTCATCCTAAACTGGCCTGTCTGGGGTACAGAGTTGGAGCTACAGATAGGATATTTCCAAGGTTTCTGCCAGAAGACAACACATTTTAAGCCAACATGTTTAGGGTCCCAACCATACACTGGCAGCTTGCACAGCCTAGGCCCCTGAAGGCAATGGAAACATCAGGAGACTATGTCTGGATTTCCAAGAGGGGTGATTGCAAGAGGCATGAACTCTGACAGTTACCCGCTGCCCGGTGCTCCTGCCTACCAGTTTCGGGGTCACATTGGTGTTCACAGGGGTCTAGGAGCCGCCGGGCACAGAGGTCCATGGCCCAGGGCCCACTGGAGTTCTGCTGAGAGAAGAGCACCACTTGAGCTGGGTTCAGCCAGTCACTGGCATCCAGCTGGCTCCCCTCCAGCAGGATGAAGCGGCTCCCTGCAGGAGAGAGAGAGGAGGCATGCCTGTGGGTGCACACAACAACACACACGCACACACACACACGCACACGTGCATGCATCAGTCAAGACAGAGTAAAGGATGCTCCACAGATTAGCCCAATCCGAGGTCATTACTCCTACCAGCCCTGGCCTGTCATGAGCCCCTGAGCAAGGGATCAGCAGATGGAGCCTCGGCCACCACTTGGACCTCCTGCTGCCCTTGCTCCATCATCCCCTGCTGCTTTGCTCGATCCCATCTCTATCAGGGTGGACCTAGGGAATACTGGGACAGAGCAGCTCTGTGATGGCCACGGCATGGCTCCATCAGACCCAGCCATAGGCACTGGCATTCACCCAAGGAGCAGGGACCTGCTGCCTGGTCTCCACTTGCCATGAAATAGCAGGCCCTCTAATAGTGCGGACAGTCCCCACCTGTTTTCAGCCTTCTAGCAGCAGAGAAAAGAGACATTAACAAGTCAGTTAGGTACTCTGGGCATCACGAATTCAGGGCCTCCTGAACCCATACTACTCCCTCATTATATTGGGGTCCCCCAGAACAAAAGGAAATTATTGCTTCAAAGTTCTAGGCTTTTAGCAAGTTACTGCAATTGGGAATTTCTCACCCAGGCATACCAAACCGAAGCATGGCTGATTCTTAATCATCTCCACAGCTCCACTTAGCTTCTCCCTTCCCCAAAGCCAGAGAATCTCTCGGTGTCTATCTACCTGTATCTAGCATGCTCTGTACTTCTCTACAAAGATAGGGACTTATTTTAAAGCAAACAGAAATGAGAAATTGGAGTGGGCATAGAGAAGAGGAGGTAATCTGTTCAATTTTATGGGTTTTTTTTTTTTTTTAACCTGCTTTCTGATTTCATCTGTGGACAATCCAAATTTGTCCTAAGCCTTACTTATCTGGGTTTATTTTTCCCTCACTTACAGTAATAAGTAACAGTGAGCCCTGGCTTCTCTATCTTCCTGGCCCAACATGAAAACTTCCCCTTTGGGGAGGAAGCCGCATCCTCGCAAGCGAGCTTACCATCGGCGATCAGGTGCTCGGGGACGTGCAGGGTGATTTTGACAACGAGGGGGCAGCTGACATGGGAGGCGCACACGAGGCCGATCACACAGCTGGTGATGCTGATCAGCGTCAAGGTGGTCTTATTCACAGGACTTCGGGGAGAGCCCACTGGAAGCAAGATACAAGCAAGACACGTTGCGGTAAGAGGCTTGGCAGTGGGAGGCTAATCTGGCTCTGCTGCCCAAACAAGCAAACAGGGGAGGCGCTGGGCAAACCTAGCCCAGGCGGGGAATGTTCTGGCTCATGACCCCAGTGAGCTTCATCCTCATGGAACACCATGTCGGCCGCTAGAGTCAGAGGGACTTAGCCTACTGGTGGCCCTTGGGGTCAACAACAGTCAGTTGTGTGCAAGTTCACTGCACTCTTCCTGGGACAGGCTCACAAAGAAATCATAAAGGAGGGCATTCTCCCCTGCTGCTCGCCTGGCTGAGCTCCAGCTTCTTGCCCAAGAGGATGCTTCCACCATGTGCTAGAACTCTCTGCGCTTCTCCCTGCTTCTTGCACAGAGGGTGCTCTCACAAACCAGCTCCTTCCTCCCATGGCTCAAACTACTTCTCCAACTGCCGCCTGAGGAACTTTCCAAGCTCTGTGGGTGGGATTCCTACAGGTGACTCTTTGTCTATAGGACCGGGAAGGAGGAAAGTCTGCTCTGTATGTGTAGGGGATATTGTCATGCCTGAAGGGCCCCCCCAGTCCTGCAGTCAGAGATTATAAATGGCAGCTTAGTGAGCAAATAAGGATGCTGAGGAGACAGTTACAGGCAGGTGCGGACAGGAATAGGAAGGAAGGTTTTCTTGGTGTGTCTTTGTTTCTGGTTTTTGTGCAGAGGATAAAATGGTAGTAACAAGAGGGACATTTCACGTGGAGGCAGAACAGATGTGGGGAAGTAAGAAAGCAAGGCAAGTGGCCAACAAAATGTGTCCTTTGTCATTTTCTTACGGTCTGGTCTGTGTTGGCATTTATGACTGATAGAAATAAAAGGCAACTATTATGTCAGACATTGGGTGAAGTGCTTTGCATACATTATTTTATTTTTATTATTTGCTTCCTTAGAATAAATCTAGGAGTCTGGACAGTAACTACCTACTTCACAGGTAAGGAAAATAAGTCTCAAAGAGATCAAACTCAGAGTGACAGTTAAAATTTATGAAGCGTAATTATGTGTCAGGTGCCAGTGCGCAGGCTTTACGTGGCTCATATCACTTAACGATGACCATGGTCTGATGAGGCAGCTCCCATGAGGGACAATCAGAGAGGCGACAGGGCACGTCCAGGGTCAAGCCGCTTCTAAGGAGCCGGGATCGAGGCAGGGGTCCAGCTGAGGCGGCAGCCCAGACAGGGCACTACTCAATCTTTGGGCCCAGGGGAGTCTTTGGAATGGCTGTTCTCGGGACTGCAGGGAAGATTTGGGTCCATGGCGGCACCCACCCATTATGGCGGCAGGTGCCCTGAGTGGTGTGCTGGCAGGAGCTGGGATGAGAGACCGCAGGGTGGCAGGCAGCCTCTGGATCCTCTGTCCCCTGCTACCTAGAGATATTCTTTTCACCTTAGGATCCTTTCACCAAGGGGTCTATTTTCCCACACTTACAAATCTCTATCCCCAGCCCAAACCGGACCTGAGCAGCAACAGATCTGCCACCATCCAGCACATCCCCCAGGCACTCGAATGCGAAACTGGACTCTCCCTCTTCCTTCGATTTCCACCACCCGGAGAATGGCGCCCTGAGCTACTTGGTTTCTCCAGTCGGAAAACTCCACCTTGTCTGACCCTGCCCTCCGTTACATAAGCCATGCCCTCCCCCCTTCCGATGCCATTAAATCTGGTTCCATCTTGTGTCCAAAGTTTCTCTTGCCTTCATTCTCTCCATCCCGACCCGTGCCCGGCATCGCACACCTGGATTGCAGCAAGAGCCATGTGCCCAGTCTCCCTGCCTCAACGTCCCCCACCGTCGCCTACCCTCCGCAGGGGCTCACAGGCACCCTTTATGAAGCAGAGCGGACCAGGGCGACGCCTCTGGTCTGAAAAGCCTCCAGTGGCACCAACCGAAGCGTTAGGTCCGAGTCCTGCGGTCAAGGCGCGTGCTGTCTCCTGATCGTCCAGCCTATTTCCTAAGCAAACTGCAAACCTGCACCGTACGCTTCATTCTAGTAAACTCTTTCCCACTCTCTGACTAGACCATTATCGTTTATGTCTCTGTGACTTTGCACATATCATTTCCTCCTCCACAGAATGCTATTTTGTCACCTTGTCAGCCCGGTATACACCTACTCTTCAAGCCTCAGCTCCAACAGCATCTCCTTGTAAACACTTCCCTGAAACATTTAAGAGCAGATTCTCACTCATCCCTTGCTGTTCCTCTAGCCCTGGGTGCACCCTGCTGTTAAAGCTTTTATCACACGGTGTTGTCACTGTTTACGGGTACTTGCTCCTGCTCTCACGTGATTGCAATAACTTGCTACTCATCTTCCTGCCTCCCTGGTCCTTCTGTATCATCCACCCATCATACAACACCTCTACCTGGCTTCAAAAGGTCCAGCGGTTCCCTGTGACCTACGGAACAAAGTGCAAACTCATGATGCAGGTGTAGTCCTCGGGGAGCTGGCCTGTCACCCAGGCCCGTCCCTACCACCCCGTGGCCTATGTTCTTACACCTGCTATACAGAACTACTTTCACTTGCTTAAAATTACCATGTTCTTTTGTGCCGTCCAGGCTTTCTATATGCCATTTTCTTTACTGGGATGTCCTTACCCTAGATTTTCCTTTTTCAAGAAATTCTACACATTGTATATAACCCAGGTCTAATTATTTTCTCCTTCTTTGTCTCCTATTGCTGCCAGGTAGAATGACCTGTTCTGTCCTCTGAGTACTCATTTTACTTTATTTATAATATTAAATTAAGCCTTATCACTGTGCCACGTTTTCATGATTCTACCTCCCATCACAAAGCCTGACCTATGGCAGGTGAGTTATAAAATTTCTTGCCGGCCTGATTGATGTATTCAGTTCAGTTCAACAAACACTTACAAGCATCTATTATAGGCAAAATCCTTCACTGGTCACTTTGGAAAAATAAATTAGACATGCCCATCCCTAAGAAGCTTACAGTCTAGTTAATAGCAATAAACAGTTGATGTACTAGGAGAGCTTGGTATTTTAAAGGAACAGTTTTATGGCACAAAGAAACTCATTCTAATTCATTACTATGGATTTTCTTAAACAGGATTTTATTACAGCAGAACACACCCTGCTCAGAGTTGGACGGGCCGAGGTTGACTATCAGCTATATATGAATATATAAAGAGGATCAAGGGATCCACATTCTCACCTCAAGGATACTGGGGCATCAGACGTTAGGCTGCCCAGAGCCCCACTGATCTCTTGAGAAAAATGCTGGGAAGGAATTTTGTCCCAATAATAGCAAAGCTTAGAGAAACTGGACCTGGGGAATTAAAAGGGCTGCTTCCAATCTCTGGCAGAATGCCCTCAGTGAGGAAGGAACTCAAGTAGAGGTAGGAGAGAGCAAAATGTAAATGTCTTTTGGGGGGCATTGACTGATTATTGGTTGGGGAAAAATGCCATTGGGTATAACACAGAGGGAGGCCACTCAAACATCCCCCACTGTATCTCAACAGGTCCCTGTCCGAAATTCCTTAGGATGAGTGCTGCACAAGCCTGAGGCTGCACTGCAGAGAGGTCTGGGAGCATCGACAATGGGGACTGCATAGCGCTCTACCAGTCACCCAAAAAGCACATTTTAATATAATTTAATGCTTTCAGGATCCCTGTGTGTGAGGTATTGTTAACACACTTCCTATATGAGGAAACAGGCTCAGAGAAGCTGTTGTTCTCCTCCAATATCACACAGCAAGTAAACGGTGAAGCCTACTGAACCCAGACCTCCCTCAGTGACAAGAGTGCCACCAGCAAGGTCATGGGCAGGGGCACCTCATCTGCCACCGCCACACCTGAACATCAGGGGCAGTGGCCCGGGGAGCATCTGCGTGGAAGGACAGCTCTAGCAGTACTGAGGAGAGTGCATGAACTCACTGGAACCCTGCCGGGAGAACGGAGGGTACTTGGAGGCTTGGGGTCCCATGATGCTGCCGGGGAGGGGATGGGAGGTCAAATACCATTACACAAGGATCATTCCTCAGCGACCCTGCCCCCCTGCCGCTGCCTCGTCCAATCCCAAGGCCAGCGTGGCTGTGCAAGCAAGAGTACATATACCGTCCACATTTTCACATACAACACACTTCATCAACTTTATTTCCTGTGTCTAAACAGCAAAATATGACTCCTGAGGCTTCCAGAAGGAATTGAGAGTCTTCTGACCAAGAAATAGCCTTTCAAACAACTTGAACACTTGTTTGAGAGCGCCATTATCTGGGAGAGATGATTCTCAGAAATTTTCCACTCTAGGCTCTTCTTTCTTCCTTAGGAGGAAGTACCAGCTGTGGTCCAGGGACGCTTCCTGCAGAAAGTGGCTTTGGTCCACACAGCCCCCCGCCCGACCCAGCACCTGTGCCGCTCCTCGCCTCCCCTGCCCACAGCCCCACCACCCGCTGTGACCCCTCCAACCTTCCCACCTCTGCTGCGCCTCCGGCTCCGCGAGGGGTCGGTGTAGAAGGTCAGCTGGGGGTCGTTTTCTGTCTCGGGGCCAGAATCTCCTTCAGGGTTCAGGAAGGCGGAACCAGCTATAATGAAAAGAAGCACAGCACAGTCGACATCTTCAGTTTTTTCTTCATGACACCAAATCACTGGGCATGTTCAAGAGAAAAATCGATAAAAACAAGAGCAGGCTGACTGACAATTTGGGAGCAGTAGTCACAGACGCTGGAGCTTCCTGATACCCAGATTTATTGGAGAAGTGGACCTTTTCGTGACAGCGGTCACCGGAGCCCACCCCCAGCCAGCCCAGGCTCCCCGCTCCATCCGCGCCCCGCCGCCCTCCTCCCCCACCCCCCCACCCCCCGCCACCAGAGATGGCCTTCATGGATGGGGGGTGGAGAGGGACGGAAGGGAAATTTCCCTCCTCAAAAGCTTTTCTCTGGTCCTGGAATTAATATGCATTCAATGGGATAAACAGGAAAAAAATAATAAAGAGAATGCAGAGAAATGTGCAAAAAGAACAACCCCAATATCCCCTAAATCCTGTCAATCAGAGAAAAACTCTGTTCACATTTGACGTATATGTTGTCTTTTCCTGATACAGAAATAGATAAAGGTTTTTTAATCTCCCCTTACGAATGGCATTTTGCTCGGGTTTTTTTTTTCCATTTAATAAATGGGTGGGCAACTTCCCATATGAACAAATACGGATCTATCTTATCATCCTAAATGGCTGCATGATAAGCCACTGGATGATAGACAGATGTGCAGGTAGCTAACCGATTCCCTACTGATGGACACTTAAGCTATTTCCAATTTTTCGCTCTTTTAAACAATGTTGTGAGGAACAGCCTTTTACACACGGCTTTGCACACTTGTCCAATTATTTCCTAAGGATTAATTCTTGTTTATGAAATTACTTGGTCAGAAGGTTTGTACATTTAAGTTTTTTGGCTAAGTAACACTCAACAGGCTTCCAGAAAGCCTGGGCTCAAACACACACCCGCTAGCCATGTCTGAGTGTCAGGGGTCCAGGATATGAATGGTCCTGCCTCTACCGATATTAAGGAAACCGCCACCCGCAAGCCCTCCCATCAGACACAGATACCTCTTGCCTTGTTGTTGATCCGCTTTCTCTGGCTGCTGGAGGTGTGCGAGAGCAGAGTGGCCTGCTGGTGGTTGGAGTCCACGGGGCTGGTGGCAATGATGTTATCCTTGTACTTGTTCATCAGCGATAGCTTGGCATTGTCGCTTCCTGCAGAAGGAAAAGTCAAGGCAAATTCTTTCAGAGAAAAGGCCAAAAGAAAGTGCGAGCAAGGAAAGCTGCTTGAACCACGTAAATGGAATTTCACAGAATTGAAATAAGGAACCTTTAAAGTGAGAGATTGGCAGAGACTAAATACTCCTCTGATTTCTGCAGGGCTACAAAATTGAGGGAGGAGAGGAGAGAGATGACAACTGAAAAGCCAAGTCAATTGATTCTGTATTGATTAGGGTCACGACATGTGGCCCGTGCGCTAGAGACAGACAACAGATTCCTTTCTCTGGGGCGGCACAGAGTTTTAGAAGAAGCTGAATTTGAGTGCATTCAGGCAGAATATGCCTTCTCCCTCTTCCACCTAGTCGATCTCATGACCCATGAAATCATGACCTGAGTCGAAACCAAGACTCAGATGCTCAACGACTGGGCCACTCGGGTGCCTCAAATTCGAGACTTCTATGATGTGATTTCCCTCTCTTCAAGCGCCACTGAGGAGCGCCTGGGTAGCTCAGTCACTAAGCGTCTGCCTTCGGCTCATGTCATGATCCCGGGGTCCTGGGATTGAGCCCTGCATCGGGCTCTCTGCTCGGTGGGAAGCCTGCTTCTCCCTCTCCCACTCCCCCTACTTGTGTTCCTGCTCTCGCTTATCTCTCTGTCAAATAAATAAATAAAATCATCAAAAAAAAGCCCCACTGAAAGTCTATATATCTTAAGCAATATTCAGTATGAAAAATGTCTTCTTTAGAGAATTGAGCAGTTTTTTGAGGGATCACTGTCTTGGGGTTTTATTTATGAGGAGTTGCTTATTTACGGAAGTCTCAGAGATAGATAGGAGGGCTGCTATAAAAGAAAAGTACAGTCATTTCCTCTCTGCATTTTGTTGACCCTGATTTTGTTCAGCCTGATCAGGTCCAAGTCTTTTCCACCCAGCATCTCCATAGAAACACAAGGCATCTAAGGTCGGACAGCTTGATTGCATTCCTAATCTTCTTTGAAGAAGTACGACCCTTGTAAAGACCACAGAGGCCATGGGCAAGACAACACAACCAACCACTCCCTCCCCAGACCAAGGTCTCCAGAGTCATAGAAAAGGACAGACACCTCTGTCCTCCCACTCAGTGGATACTTAGATCACCTAAGCAAACATGCGACATGCAAAAATGCCGTACACACGCGCTGATCTTTCTTGCTAGCTTCTTATTTCCCTGGGGACTGCTCTATTATATAAGAAAAAGGCTCTATCTAACCCACTCTTCTGTTGGGTGTAAAGGTGTCTCTGCTTCCAGTGCAAAGGCGAAGCGGAGAGGAATTCAGTGTATACCTGTTCTTCTGATTTCCCCCATTAGAAAACAGGTCCCGTTGTCTCTGGAAAGCGTGTACCCTCTGGCCCACCCGGGAAAGGGCACAGGTACATGCCATTATGCATGACAACCGGCCCCAAGACTAGAAAAGCTGTTCCCTACTCACTCCCTAGTTCCCCAAGGGGAGGAGCGACTTGCCCACCTGGCGTGAGGTCCATCCCCGCCTTCTCGTTGCAGCCCTGCAGGGAGTCCAGGGTGCGGGTGACCTGGCTGGCAAAGTCCTCCCCTCCGTTCATGCACTCCCTCTGCAGGTGGTGGCGCAGGTCTGTGATGTCGTACTCATAGCCGTCCAGGATGGGGGTCTCCCGGATGCTCAGGGTGCCACTGGAGTTGTGGCCCTGCACGCGGGCATTGCGCAGACTCTCCCGTCCGTGCCCGCCGATCAGCACAGAGGGAATGTAGTGAATCTCGTTGGCGGCCTCGGCGCTGGCACTCTTCTGGGGCTGGGGCACCCTGCGGCGCTTGCACCAGCGCCGGCGAGTGTATAGGATCATCACCAGGCACAAGATGGACAGCAGCAGAGCAATCATGCCACCCTGGGAGGAGAGGACAGCAGACAGACGTTGGAAGATGGGTGAGCTCGTCCCACAAAGAGGCATCACCCCCCCCATCCATCACTCACTCATTAATTCATTCATTCAGGTGCGGTAAGCACTTAGAGCAAGCATCACTCTGCAGCAAAGGGACAGTCCGTGGTGACAGGTGTTGAAGGAAAATGGAGAAAAATGGACCTGGGATGACCAGGGCCTCATTTAAGTGATCCACAGTTGCTTCTGGCTTAGCAAACACTGTGAAAGAGAAGTCCGTGTGTGTGTGTGGTGTGTATGACTTCAGTTGTAGAAATAGGGGAGAGGGTTAGTTTGTTAAGGCAAATCTGTTATGCAGAAAGCTGGTTTCCAGCCAATTTTTAGCAGCAGAATGGCATCTAGTTTCTTCCTGTCTCACATCTTAAAAATCAGCCATGTATATAGATTCTAACTCTGGCTACATCAATGATCAGTGAGTCCCCCAAATTTGGAACCTCAAAGTCCTTCTCTATATAATGGAGAAGGTGCCACTTGGCCTGGGACGGTGGTGGTAAGGACTATGTTAGGGAATGGTGCACAGTGCCTAGCAGAGTGTGTCACATGGAATCAGGGATGGCCTGAGCCTGACCTTAAATGTCTCCGTCAGAGTAGGGGAACACCATCGACCAATCCAAAGAGAAGTTTGCGTCCATTAGGGATTTACAAGCAAGTGTGTGGCAGACGCTCACCATTTGAACATGACTTTTTTGGATCACTATGGCTTCAGGGGACAGCTTACTCCCACTCACGATGTCCTGAGTGATCGAACTCGCATTCTTGCTCGAGGGAGGGATTGAGACCCATGTCCTGGAGTCCGGCTGGCAAAGGACTTTCCTTGTGAACCTTCTCATGCTCCCAGGCCATCCTCTGAGGCCACTCCCTAAACACCAGGACTCCACTCGGTTGTCTAGCAGAGGCCAGGATGCCATGCTTAGTGACACTGAGCACCTCACCTTGACATTCCGGGGGAGGGGGGGTTGGGGGGAAAGCCTTAGACCCCCGTTGCTCCCCAGCGCTCAGCGGGCATAAATCTTCCAGTGCACGATCTGTATTCACTCCCCTTATTTTGGTCAATATCCCTCCGAACCTGTTTCATTAGGTGGGACTGTGACAAATGGTTCTGCTCTCGACTTGGGCTTCAGTCACTGCCACCCCATCCAATAGGCTAGAGATGAAAACCCCCTATTAATTCCCAGGGGGCCCACCCACACAAGGCTGGGTCAAGATTATCCCCTCAAACACATGAACAAGGGCTTTCTCCAGTCTTGTGAGAATTATATCTTGAATTTATAAAGTTCCTCTCCCGATAAATCTTCCCATTTACCTTCCCTCCCCTGCCAGCACTGTGAACAAAGCACACACACACACACACACACACAGAACGTTGCCACTTTCAAACAGGCACAGAGCAGCTGAGACAAGAAGCAACAGAGTCAGTTGCCAAGTGACAGGTCATGTCAGGTGGCTTTTCAGGGACATACACTGGCCTCCATGTTTTCCAGATTTTTCCTTTATCTGTGGAACCGTTTCTCCTGGTGAAATCTCTCATGCAAGTAGACAGCATAAATATGAAGCTGCCCGTTGCAGTGAGGGTGGGGGTGCAGGGGTAAGTATTCCAGGTCATGGCCGACGGTCGCCTCCCTGCAGCCCACCGTCCCTCCCTGCAGCCTGCAGACCGCCCCCTCCCCAAGTGTCGCAGCCAAGCCCCTGAGCCCGAGCCCCGCAGCAGCGTGCTGAGAGCCCCTGCTTGAGTCCAACTTGCTAGTTTTTCAGCAGGCCCTTTACCTCAGAGTCAGACCCACCATCCTTTCCCTCACCCCAAATTGAAACTGCAACAATAGGCAATTAAGCCACACAGAAAGAATAAGTTCCAGAGTGAGAGAAGTTGTCAGACATTGAATTAGGCTAGTGAAAGCAAGAGGTAATTTTATTCCCTAAAGAGCTATAAGAGCCGTATAAACATCAATCTCCGAGGAATGGCTGAAACACCAACTTTCCGCTCACACAGAGGTATTCAGGGGGCCCCTCCAGGCTTCCCCTCAATTTCTCCTTTCAGATGATCACAACAGGTTATGATCGGATGCAGCCTGAATACAGCAAGAATAGCCGTCCAGTATGGGGCTGTCACTATGTATCAGACATGTGTTCTAAATGCTCCACACTTTTAACTACGCCAGATAGGGTCAACTATTTGCTCATTTGACCTTTGAAAAGGCTCAGGCACAGAGGTTAAGTAACTTGTTCAAGGGCACAGAGCAAATAAACAGTAGTTCCAGAATGGGAACAAAACGCCTCCCATGGCAGAGCCTCCGTGCCTAACTACCGGGCTACAGCGACCCTGCACAGCGCTTACACACTGCAAACACACACCCCTAGTGAGCGGTGTATCCCACAAATCATCAGCAGGTGGGATGGGGGGAGCATGCATGAGCCCACTTAGATCTAGCCTCATTTCTCAAAGGGCACCTCTAGCTGACAGTGGGTCAAAAGAGGCGCCATCATAAACAAAGGACCTTTCACTGAGCCCCCACTAAGTGTCCAAACCCAAGATTAGTTGGGAGTGGAAAGACAACACTCACGTTTCAAGGTCTCTACGCTAAAATAAGACAACGCGCATCACACATCCCTAGGTGCCTGGAGGATACCATTAGATCTCAATTTTGTTAAATTTCTCTTTCAACTGTGAGACCCATTGAAAATCTCTAGGTTTGGCCCCTCCTCTTCTGATGAAGAAACTAAGGCCCAGAGAAACTACGAAACTAGATGGTGCCAAAGTGGCTCTAGACCCGATCCTCCTCATGGCACTGCTTTGTTAGGTGCATCTAAAATTCCCTTTACCCTGTGTGGCCCTAGACACTTCATTAGAAATATTTATATTTATTTATTTCTAAGTAGTAACTTTTAGGGAGCTAGAACACAAGTTTTCGATCGGCTAAGCCAGTGTATTTAACATATATAACCTTGCTTTATTGAAACGTTTCCCCTGCTTAGAGTCAGTGACTCCCAATAACCTTAGGTTTTTCTTAATCAGTTACTAGTAATGAGCTCCAGCCACTAAGGGAAACTCCGCACAGACAGAGGAAAAAGGATGATTCTCAGGTATTCAAGTTGTGGTACAGTTTCTGCTTCTATAACCCAAATTGGTGGCAGGTGTCATAATACTTGGCAATGATTTACTAATTGTGGATTGTTACATAAATAATCATATATATATATAGTGTTACATAATATAACATGGACTATAATTTAATAATAACATTTTGGTAACAATAACAATAATTTGTAAAATCACTACACACAAATCCCTCTGAACTGCTTATCTGCTCTGTCCAGTGAGAAGATCCCAGGTAGGAAGGAGTAGGGAGAGACCCTCCACTACACTAGGAGAAGTCATGGATGTAACAACCTTGACAACTTTCCTTCTACAACGAGGACATGGAAATCTGGTGCTCACGATCGACTGTTTTTGCATGCCTGGATAAACCATGGTTCATTGATCTTAGCATTATTTTTAACCACTCTACTTCCACAGAGAATTTTATGCAGCTTCAATTTAAGTCAGAGAGACTCTACAGTTTTTCTTTCAAATAATCTAAAGGAACAGAGGCAGCAGATGAAATGGAAAGAGCCCCTGGACCAGGAGTTATGCTGAGGAGCTTCCTGATAACCAGGTCAAAAAGGGAAAGGCAAGCTGCACACATCTTCTTGTCTGATGGAATAAAGTTTGGTGGGAGGAACAAACTTCCCCCAGGCGTTCCACTCCAGCCAGACTTCCAGCCGGAGTGTGTGAATGAACACACAGACGAGCAAAGGAGGCTTTACGGAAAGCGAGCAGGAGTTCACACGGGCACCCCTGGCTTTGCAATTCTGTACTACCTGAGCGGCGCTCAGAGGGTGTTCTTCATTTATGTGTGTTAGCTTCAACTTCTATGGCATTCAAAACAAAACAAAGCAAAATCATTAAGGTATGTGTGGACCCAAGCGACAAGTAACAAGTTGCAAACTTTGAATATTCAAAAAAAACAATAACTGCAAGGTATGGAATTGTTTTGTTCTTTATTCATTTTTTCATGAGTTTTCTGATTATTCTACTGATTTTCCTCAAAACTGTTAACATTTAATAACTAGAAGCACGTTTGGGGTATATGAGAACTCCACATCCATTAACAAGTTGCATGCAAAAAAAAAAAGTGGCATTTAAAGATATATTTTTCTTGAAAAATCAATAAATCATTTCTACTGGCTCTAACAGAGATTAAAAAAAATGAAATCAGCTTTTATTACGAAACTGACATTTTCGGCACTTTACCTGAGAGAATAGTATGAGATTTGTCAGATCATTTGCAGATTTTGAAATCTTTGTGTAACAATGTTTTATATAACACTGATGGTGATTGCCCAGGGACAGATCTAAGCAGATCTCCCTTTTATGCTCATCCCAATCACACAGGGTAACCACAGACTGACTCATTATCTGACCTATGTATTCGTTCTGGGTCTAGATCACACCTCCCTCCCTGAGCCAACTCCTACTTGTCCTTCTAAGTCAGTTCAGTGACATAACCTCAGCCAGTTCTTCCCTTGTTTCACTGAACTGCCCACAGAACCCTCCACATAACTCTGACCACAAATATTTTATCTTTGATTTGCTTGTGCATCTCATCTATTGGATTACAGACCTCATGAGAGCAGGGACCACTAAGCTCCAGGGCCAAGCACAGTGCATGGCATAAAAGTATTTGATAATTACAGAAGGAAGGGAGGCAGGGAGGGAAGGAGAGGTCGTCTGTGAATGTATTTCAATATAGACACCTTCTGTGCGCTTGCCAGCAAAGCTTATTCAAATCAGTTGCTTATGTAACTCATTCATTCAATTCATTACTCAACCATTCAAGTATATACTCACTTCAGTAAGGCACGTTTCTAGTGATCACTGTGATGGAGATACTGCAGTGAATAGTACAGGGACA